TCTTTATCAAATACTGAAACAAGAGCAATGGCTGTGCCAACTGATGCATCCTCTTTAACAGTGTTCAACAGTGATGTGACTGAAATTTCAGGTGCGTTGTCATTAACGTCTAATACTTCAACCAGTAATTTAGCATGTGAACTCATAGGCGAGGAAGCTCCATCACTGGCTTGTACTCGAAGTTCAAAAGCATTATTTTCTTCAAAATCAATATTCCTTTTATTTGTTACAGTCCCTGTTTGTTCATCTATAGAAAACACATCTGTTTGTTTCCCTTCGTCTATTTCCATAAAATAATATGATATTTGCCCATTTTTTCCATCATCTAAATCAGTCGCATTCAGGGTGATTATTGAAGTCCCAATATTCACATTCTCATGTATGCTGACTTTATACAGCATTTGACTAAAGACAGGAGGATTATCATTAATGTCTAAGACATTTACTATAATGGTCATACTTCCAGATTTAGCAGGTGTTCCTGCATCAAGTGCAATTAGTATAAGTTTGATCACAGATTGTTTTTCTCTGTCTAAAACTTTTTGAAGCACCAATTCGACTGTTATGCTACCCCCTTTAAGTGTATTTAGAGAGAAATGTTCATTTTGACTCAGTTTGTAGGTATTTATAGAGTTTTTTCCAACGTCTCCATCGTGAGCTCGTTTCAGCAGAAATTTTGTTCCTACCGCTGTGCTCTCGGTAATATTAATTGTCTGGGATGTGCTGAGAAATGAGGGTGAATTGTCATTCACATCCAAAACATTTATTTCTATACGGTACAGTTTAAGTGGATTATTAATAACAGCTTCTGCAATTAGTGAACATTTGGCGTCGTTACCGCAAAGCTCCTCTCGATCTATTCTGTCGTTAACATAGAGGGCTCCAGTTTTTAGATTTACCTCGAAATATTTTTTCTTCGATCCAGCAACGATCTGAAACATGCGGGGCTCCAAATCCTGGACATTGATGTTCAGATCTTTCGCGACATTTCCGACAACAGTCCCCAGATTCACCTCCTCTGAGACGGAGTAAGAGAGCTGCCCAGAAACCGTTTCCCAATAACAA